TAATATCATTACAATGAAGGATCACTTATATCATTAGGTGCGGAGCTTATACAGAGGCGGGCGGGAGCCTGCATGATTAGGGTTGCAACAACAGTTGCAGTATGAGAACATCAGTTGTTGAACGTGACATTGTAAATTCACCCGTTGTAACATTCTCGCATATGAAGAGAAAAGATTGGGCAATGAATTGATGGATGGGTGGATGGGGAACACACCAGACAATGTAGTGAAACAATGATGATGAGACTGGGTGGTGGGTGTATGGACCACCAGACTCTTTGAGATAGAGAATGGTGATGGGATGGGTAGGTGATACTGACCACCCGACTTCTTCTGCGATGGAGAGACAATGGGTGAGGATGTGTGGTGTGTCTGCTTGCTTCCTCTTCCAGTAACTGTTACTGTAGTCGTGCTACTGACAATTCCTTCTGTGGACACAAGCCTCATTTAATCCACTACCACAATTTTAACTATTAGTAAATACATAGTATTATTGGTTGGGGAGCCACAAACATTAGGAGTATTCATTACTTTGGGGAGAAAGGGGAGGAGATGGGAGGCTAAACACAGGGAACTGAAACACAGATTCAAATCCAACAAGAGAATAGCACAATCAGCCAGAGAGCAAAACATTATACCAGGCTTCCACTAATAACAACATTTCCACTCACGGCTTTCACTAGAGAAACACCTGAAAATGCAAGAAGGGCGACAGGAGTTGAACCTGCGGTCTAGTGTCTAGAGTAACTAGCGTGGTCAACTATTACGCCACAGTCATAGCCAACACTCCTACAGACATGGGCTTAGACCCGGGTACTTGATGATGCAACACCGTGCAATGCGACCATGGGTTTATACGCCACACTCCCTTTCACTGTACTTGTGTTTTGGCAGAACCGCCCGTTTTCAGAGAACTGTGATTTACCATTGACCTGTGAGGAGGGTTTTGCCGCCCTGGTGACCCACACCAAAGGCCAGACCACTATCCTGCAGGCCAACTGTCCACTCGACTCTTGGTGCTAGCACAGCAGCACCACTCCCTGTGCTGACACCAGTGTTGTACTAAGCACTCACTACAGCATGTGCTGACGACACCAGCCAGACCACTTTATCCTGCTGGCTGTCTAGTCCACCGTGGATGTTGGTACTAGCAGCTAGCCAACACCACAAGCCTGTGCCTGACATACCAGGCTATGAGCAAAAATGAGAATAACTTCCAAATCCATGTTTACCACTTAAGGGTCTATATAATACTTACATTTTTTTTTCTTCAACAAGTCGGCCGTCTCCCACCGAGGCAGGGTGACCCATAAAAAGAAAGAAAATTCCACAAAAAGAAATACTATCATCATCATCACACTTTCACCTCACTCACACATAATCACTGGTTTTGTTAGAGGTACTCAGATACAACAGTTTTAGAAGCATATCATAAAACGATACACAACATATCCCTCCAAACTGCAATATCCCAACCCCTTGACTGGTCGCAAGCCCCTTTCTGAAACTGTCATTCTATGTTGCAAAATTTTTGAAAAAAAAAAAAATTTCTTTCTATGAAATGAAAGAGAAATCTTTTACCGATGGTAATGACACCAAAAGTTCGAAATTTGGTCGCAAACCCCTCGGGAATAAAAACTACCGCGAAGTTACAACTCGTGACATATACGTATCGGCGATTTCGCCGACTTGAGCCCTGTTTTTAGCCAATTCCCGTTGTTCCATTGACAAACCTCTAGCTATTTCTTTAGAACTCCATTTTATTTCATCAGTTGAGTACAAGAAACCGCCCATTTACTGGGTTTTGAAACTACGCCAATAAAGTGGTCAGAAATTGGCAATTTGGCCAATTCACGCAAATTAAAAAATAATGCCAATTTCAACATAGTCTCCAGAATAAACATGTAGGACATCTCTTGGCGACTAAAATAACAATCCGCTTTTATTAGATCACGTTCCTATGCCCCTCTTATATAACTAATTGCTTTCTATTTGATTTTATTTCATCACAAAAACATACAAAATTTACTGTTATGCAGACTACTGCATCTTGAAAAAAGTAGTAAATAATATCAGTGCACTAGTGAAAGAATATCATACTTCCCAGTTGACTTGTATTGGACGTGTGGTGTGGATTGCTTACTCCTAACTTGGTAAAAATCGAACATTTCCGCTACTTGAGCTCAGTTTCAAGTCGTTTTCATCGTGACTAGTAATGAAAACCATTTCCAATTCTTTAATATGTTCCCATTTCAATCACCAAAGACAAGAAAACTAGAATACAACGATAAATACTATACGAAAAAACACCTCAAAGTCGCGTTTTAATCCAAAAAAACTGTCCGTTTTATTTTTCACTTACCACTTAACTGTGTGCTGCAGATATTTTTTATTGAGTGCAACCTGACCACACAGACCCACTCTCATCACATGTGGCCCGGGCCTAACCAGGTTTACTCCTGCTTGATTTGAAGCCGCTAAGAATTTATGAGTAATAAATAACGCAGAAACAGGTTGCGCGTACGACGTATTTTTAATACGGCGGTAAACAGTCAAAGGGGTTCAAAGTGCAGTGCATTGTACCGTCCCAACTTTCCAAGACTCAATCTGGCTTATATAAAAGATAACCGTTTCCCTGAATTCCCTTCACTAAATATTACCCTGCTCGTCAGGTCCCAAATACCATTCATCTCCATTCACTCCTACTAAAAGTGCTCACGCACGCTTGCTGGAAGTCTAACATAATGCATACATGAGTCTCAAAATAGCCTAAATTTTTTTTCAACATGTCAACCATGCACCCACCGAGGCATGGTGACCAAAAAAAAAAAACCAACACTTTCACTATCATTCACTACTATCACTGCCTTGCAGCAGGTGCTTAGATATGATAGTTTAGATATCCTATCCAAACCTCCTTTTCCAGGACTCATGTCTGGCTATATGTTTCCCTTGAATCCATTCACAACATATTACCCTGCTCAGATGCAAACAGCTCCACAAGTTCCAAAAAACATTAGCCTCCAGTCGCTCCTATCTAACACAACTCAAGCACACTTCTGGAAGGTCCAAGCCTCCACCCCACAAAACCTCCTATCCCGTTTTCCTCCCTCCAACCTTTCCTAGGATGACGACCCTACCCATACATCTTGCCTTCCATTCCATTTACAATAATCACTCTTAGACTCATCCTATTTTGCTAAAATAACCATCCACCTCACCAACCCCTCTTCAGTCCTTTGAATAATACTTTTATTAACACTATCACCTCCTGATTTCCACACTAAGAATTCTCCGCATAATATATATCCACAACACTGCCCTTAATACACGCATCATCCACCGCTCCAGTCTCCATCTTGCGTCAACATTCACAACCCATTACTTCAACACCCATAGAAAACTGCTGATAACCACGTATACATTCATACATTTCCTTCTTTGCTTCCATGGATAAGTTCTTCGACTCCAAAGATACCTAAGTGCAACCACAGACCTTTTATTCCTTTATCATTCTATGGTTTAACTTTGTCCTTCATACCCATCTGCTGACAATCTAATCCCAAATAATCTTTAACGCATTCCAATTCTCCCATACTTCCTCCATTTTTTTCTTACCTAGCTCATTTTAGTAACCTTATTACCTACTCCATATCGTATTTTCACATTCAACTTCTTCCTTTACAACTCCCGTATTTCCTCGCCCAAACTCATCACTAACCTTTGCAACTTGTCCTTCAGAACCACCAAAAGCACAGTATCATCAGCAAAAAGTAACTGTGTCACTCCCAATTTTGTATTATATTTCCCACATAATTTAAATTCATCTTCTCCCCAACACCCTAGTGTCATATGTGAACATAATAAACTCCCTCCGTCTTGCCTCCTATGTTCTGTCATAACACAACAAGTCAGTCAATGAAGATAAGTTAATAGAAGGTAAGTGTGATGTTAAATGATCAACTTTATTCCCTTTTACTTAGTGCTTTATTATTTATTTGTCCCCATTGTTTTCTGTATATTTATATTTTTCTTTTAAAAAAAAAAATCTTTTTTTTTGTTATTACGTTTGCTTCTGATCGATTACTTGGATTTTCCGATTATTTCTTAATGGGAAAAAATTAATTCCGTAGTAAACGGGCAAATTCGACTAAACTGCTAGCTCTGCCTGGAATGGATTAAAGCCGTTGTTGAAGGGTCTACGTACTACTTTTATACGCTATTCCATACACTTGCAACATCTGCCACATTGCTCCCCAATCCACATTATCAGTATGCTTGTCTAAACACATCCAACCCTTCTTAATGCCTCCTTGTTCATTCTGCAATCCTGCTCTCTGTCATACTTTCCAATTCATTAATACCTCAAACCGTACATTTTTTTTTAAACTTGAATAATCTCAACAGGCTTATTTCCCTGTTAATCATTTACCTGCACCCTTACCTTTATATAAAGGAACTATGTCATGCTCTCTGCCATCCTCTTAGGTACCTGTCTCCTCTTCATACATAACTGACCAAAAGTACCAACCTTCACAACCTATATCCCCGATCTGCTTTTTAACAAAATTTGTCTTGATCCCATCAATCCCCGCTGCTTTTACCCCCCTTTCATTCAACCCACAGCCGTCACGCACTCCCACATCACACACCTCCCCCATCACGCACCTCCCTCATCACGCACCTCCCCCCCATCACTCACCTCCCCCATATGCCCTCCCCCACACGCACCCCCCACACTCATATTCTTGGTTTTCTTCCCTTTCCCCTAGCAAGATGTATACCACCCTGAGGCCAATGCATGAAATTATCTGCCTTCCGTCTTCATCAACATTAACATTTTCCTCAAAATATTCCCACCAACTTTCCAATACCTCCAACTCCCCATCATCTTCTTTAATCTGTTTTTATCTGTCAAGCCAATTTGTTACCTAGGCTTTTCTTAACCTATTCATCTCACTCCCTAAACTTTTTCTTAATCTTCAGCAAAATTTATCAACATTGGCCTCACTCACACCCAATCTATCGATTTGCTCTCCTTTTGTATGGCACTTTCTCTCACCACTCTCTTCACCTCTCTGTATTGACTCTTCATATACTCCACACTTCTTATATCACTTCTGCTATGTAAAAAACCTCTCAATAAATGAAAATTTTTCTTCATTATCACACTTTACCTTATAGTTCTACAATCCAACTCTCTTTCCTCCTGCACTCCACCTTGTAGTCACAAACTTCTGTCCTGCGTTCTAACACTGCATTTATAAAACTACCCGACACCTCTTCAAACCCCCCCCCCCAATAACTATGCTCCTCACTACCCACGTTGTTTCACCCATAGTCGCTCATATCTTATCCAACTTCGTCGTCCCTTTGTTATAAACTTTCACGCTCTCCATACTTTGATACCATTCTCCCTGTACCTCTTATCTAACTGTAGCTACAACTAAATACGAGTGGACCCCCTGTTCGCGAAGCCCTCGGTATCCAATAAAACCGGTATCCGAGATTTGTTGAAGCATTATATCACAAAAAATTTCTTCACATCGGTTCCCATTAAAAACCCGTATGCGATAAACATTCAATGCGATAACATGTCCAGTGTTTACAAGCCAGCAGTAGTGCGCGCAATCTAAGGGATACATTCGTACTATTCTATATTAATCCAATATTATCAACTGTTTTTTGGTGCTTGTTTCTGCAAAATAAGTCACCATTGGCCCCCCAAGAAAGCTTCTAATTGCCAACCTATCGAGACCAAGGGTGCTAATGACAATTGAAATAAAGAAAATATGTCAAAGTGGGGCTTGAAGTCAATATCTATTTTGATGAAAATCACCCTGACACAGCTACTGCAAGTCCGTTTTGGCAACCTGTACACTGACAATTTGTGAACCACTTTATGAAAGTGATAAATGGAACGAGAGGGGTAACAGGCCTCTAGTGGACAGATATGTTGTGCGACAGAAGTCCCAGTTTTGACTCTCAGCTGGTCCTAGTGGCAGACAAGAAGATATGAAAGTAACCCCGGTAAAACGACTTGCTACCCTCAAGTCCTAATGGAGGGGGATTCCCCATCTTAAACATTAAAAACATCGGACACTCTCGCCCTCCCCTCATCCCCATCAATCCATCACAGATTCTTCATTAAAGATAATTGCCAATTTATTCTATTGTTCTTATTGTTATTGTAATTATCATGTTTTGCATTACACCTTTAATATAACATGTGTAAAAGTTTTTTTTTTCATAACTTTTGGGTGTCTTGCACGGATTAATTTGATTTCCATTTATTTCTAATGAATATTAGATTTCGCTTTCCGATATATTTTGGTTTACGATGAGCACTCAGGAACGGTATTAATATCATGAACCGGGAGCCCCTGTAATGATTCTATATAGTGCAAGGATTGTACCTTAGGTACACATTCACATCCTGTCGTCTACCATGTCAACCTTTTATCCAACATACATAATCTGACAACCTACTTATTGTTACTTGCTATAATCTTAACATGGTCTACATACTACTAGCATGTAGGCTACATTAACACCTACATTGTCTACATATACCTACATGTATCTCCACCCTGAAATTCCCTTCTTCCAGTTGTGCTCTCTTTCTTGAAATGTCCCTTCTTAAGTCAGTTCTTTGTGTCTGTTCCATTAAGGACCTCCAGCTTGTGCTGGACAGCCTGCTTCTTCCGGCGTCCACGTCCTCAGCCTTCACTGCTGCTTCCTCCAGGCCCGCCGCCTCCGAGGGCCGCTCCACCGACCGGTCTTTCGTTGGGCCGGGTTTTGCACTGTGACAGTCACCACGCTGGCACCTTTCTGCTGACCGCCGGGTCCCAATACGTTATCATCCTGGAATAAATAATCGTTATTTGAAGCTGCACCTGACCTTTCAAATGACATTGGCCAGGACCTGGTGAACAATGTCGCCAGACGGACAATCTGGACAGTGACAAGGGTTAAAGAAAAAAATCACTAAGACCGACACAATATACACTGTAAGATCGCCTCAAAATCGCTGTAAGACCGCACAAACTCGACTGTATATCTGACACGATACGCACTGTAAAACTGACACAATACTCCCTATAATACTGACATTACCTCCTGTAAGATCTGACACAATACTACACTGTCTAAACCGACCACAAATACCTCACTATAAGAAGATACAATACTACTCACTATAAGTCCCTGACACAATACTCACTAAAAACTGACACAATACTCATTAATACTGACAATACTCACTACAAGACACAACTATCCTCACTACAATACGCTACACAATACTCAACTGTAAGAATGACAATACTCACTATAAACGATACAATACTACTCACTATAAGCTCTTGGTAACTTTCTAATTCAGCTGTAGTCCTTTGAGGAGAGGGTTTTCTGACATGGGAATTCCAATCCATTGTTGAGTGCACACCCCTTGGGACAAGATATAACTCATCAATATCATCGGCCGTCTGTCTGCATGATGCGACACACACTTGCCAGGTACCATCCTCACACTGCTCGACCAACAAAATGTAGAACTGTGTCTCGTCGTACTGCTGAAAACAACAACAAACACGTTTGTTTAAAAATGAACCAGAAACTTGACACTGCGGAACATGAATGTACTTTGTCACACAATGTTGCTAAGGCACTACTTAATACTCAGGGAACAGACAGCTGAAATAACGAGGAATGTAAGCAGAAGGGACAGTTTCTCTTGCTCACACAACACAAAACAAACCCACAAACCACCCACACACAAAAGGCACACAGACACACGACATATTGCAAAAACAAACACAGACACACACAAAAATGCAACAACACACAAAACAACAAATGCACACACCACACACAACAAACAAATGCACAACACACACACAACCATCAAACAACCCACACATTACACAAAACAAACACAACACACACTACCACACACAACAAAACAATGCACACACACAAACACACTCACCTGTCGACAAAGCAAAGAATCCTTGTTAAGTTTAGCATGTGGCACAATCATCACATCTTACTCGGACATGCCTGCTGCCTGCCTCGTGATGCCCACGCATTACAGCCATGGAACCATTACCCACACAGTCACAACCCACTAAAACCCTGCAACATACACATCGGACTTAGCTTGACAAATGTTTTCACTGCAACAAAGACACTGTGTTGCCACTTTAACTAAAAAAAAAAAAAAAAAACAGGTTTGAAGAATTCATAACTGAGGTGTGTGGCAAACCCAGTAACTGAGGTGCTTTTGACTACTTAAATGTGCTGTGACAGTTTTTCTGTGCATATCTCCAGTCTGCAATTTTGCCTGCCTGGAAAGAGGTTGTTAGTGTACAGTATATGCTCAGCATAGAGAGAGCAAAGCAATTTGAAGGAATGATCATGGCTTGTAGGCAATCCCTAGTTTGAAGGTTCTCATTATCCATCCTATAGCATTTCCTAGCAAT